TTGCATGAGGTAGATTTTCGTGTCCGAGATTGTAGCGAAACTGACCGTTGTGACGTATTGATACAACTTTGCATTTGGCAACGTTGAATTCCATATCATTGGCGAGAGACCATCTGTGGGCTTCGTCAAGGGCGTTCTGAAGCTCAAATGAATCCTCGGGCTTGGTAATCGTCCTCCATATTTTGGCATCGTCTGCAAACAGCAGTGTTTTTGGTCCAAGGACTTCTGGAAGATCGTTTATAAAGGCAAGGAAAAGACGTGGGCCCAGCACTGATCCTTGTGGAACCCCACGGTTGACATATATCGGATCCGAAAGTGAATCGGAAACACGAACTGACATGGTGCGAAGGCGAAGAAACTCCTCGATCCAGCCAAGTATGAGTCCCCGAATTCCATAGTTGTACAGCTTTCGTATCAGTATTTGATGATTTACCCTGTCAAAGGCTTTGGAGAAGTCCAGGTAAATAACATCAACTCCTTTTCCTTGATCAACAGCATGAGTCCAGTCGTCCCGAGCCAAAATCAAGTTGGTTGCACATGAGCGATGTTTTCGAAACCCATGCTGAGCGGGGGATAGTAGGCCATTGTTCTCCAGATGATCCATTACGGAATCCGCAACAATAGATTCCATGACTTTGGACAACACTGGAAGCAGCGTGACGGGGCGGTAGTTGGCTGGGTCACTACGGCATCCACCTTTGTAAATTGGCGAAATGACACCGTTTTTCCACACTTCAGGAAGCACGGTCTCTTCAAACAATTTTTGGTATAACCCACTTAAGGGATCGACTATGTGACTTGCCAGGGTGATAAGGGCTTGTGAGTGAATTTTATCTAAACCCGGTGATGAGTTCTTCTTCAAAGCCAGGAGCTTAGTCTTTATCTTTTCGGGAGAAAAGATAACGTCTGTTAGTAACGGGTGAGGAATGTGTTCCAACAAACAGGGAAGTACGAAACCAGTGTTACTGGGTTTATTGACCACTTGAGAGTACTGTAGCCTCAGCATTTCTGCAGCCTCCTTGGTCGTCGCTGAAACACATCCTGCTGATTTTAGTATCGGAACGCCGTGTTTGACTTTCCGGGAAGCGTTTACATGTTTATACAACAGCTTAGGGTTTGCGATAAACTTTCTCGCCAGCATATCGTGATAATTGTACTTGTCTTCCCGCATCAAATTTATACAGTGGTTCCGAATGAGCCTGTATGCTTCCCAAGTACTGGGGCATGGACAGCGTTTGAACTCCCTCCAGTGAAAGTCCCTTTGCATTATCCATTTCCTAGTTCGACTGCGAATTGCTGATTTTCGAACAATCGGTTGGCATAGACGCTTGAAGGTTGTAACAGCAGCCACCAATGTTGTGATGATGTTAGTAAATTTACTCCAGGATTCCAGGGGATTGCAGTCTACATCAGTCTACATCCGATTCATGCAAATGCTCTGAAACCTTAGAGAAGACTGCTGTGGGCGCCAAACAAAATCACAAACTCGCGACTCGTTCATCCATGAAATATTATCAAATTCCGTCAGCGGCGTCTCGAAAATAAAATACCTGATGTGAGTATGGCTAGGGACCAAGTTGAAGCTCTCGATCTAACTCAACAGCAGTCTCGGAAATTCAGTTTCAAATTCCAATTTTTACAACCATTTACCGTGCAATTTTGTGCACCGGTTTTTTGCTGTCCTTTGTTTACCCTTTGGGATAAAAGAGCAGTATGAAGATTGAAATGTAAAGATCAGATTTAAGGTGGAGAGAGAATTCATATAGACAGGGATTGCAAGACTAATGAATAGATGCATGAGCGCCAGGCATATCACTCGGTGTTTCTAACCACTTGTTATAACGATCCGTCCAGGGTGCTTGACGGCACCTATGTGACTCAGTGTTCTGGCTAGGATTTTCATACCCTCATACCAGGTCTTATTTTGGCCACACCTGACCTTTTTCTAACCGCTTCCTGCCTCGGCAAACATTGTTCGCCGTGTCAACCTATTTGGTAACATGTACAGCACGTCGCAACCAGCGTGTTCTCTGGAGGTTGCCCACCTGTTTCAGTTGACTACCGCGATTCCCTACCACCAGACTCGTCCAAACCACTCCTTCAAGCTGAAATGCCGTTGCGAGTGATCTTGATCAGACACCTGAATCGATCATTGTTGTGTTTCAAATAACCTGCTTATTTTGTGGTCGACGTCCTCGTCACAATTGAATATCCTTCCAACGATGCAAGCTGCAAGTCCTGCGGCAAACGGGGGCAGTTTCTGAAGTTCTATTGGGTTTCTGAGACCTGAAACCACATGATATCTACTTTATCATTCCTTCTCTGCACCAGCGCAGCTGCAGCTTTAGCAAGCCTTACCAAGGCTGCTACGGATGTGTGGTGATTCAGGTCTACGTGATGACGCCTACCCTGGAGTGGTGCGTTACAGTTTCTGGACACATGCGATCAATCAAATTCGAAAGGTGACGTCAATGACACGCGTACGGCTTCTGGATTCACGCCGTACGCAGGTTGTGCCAGCCAATCTGAGACAGTGCAGACAGAGACAGAATAATGCAAGCAATACTACAATACGATTGGCGGAAGCCTAGATAACCAATGATCTTGTTTTGTACATATTATTTAATCGCTTTCATTTCTTCCAATAAACGAACTATGAGTTGCCAGTCTTGTGGCTCTTTCCTCGCGTCTCTGTCAAGTGGGTTATTTTGAGCTCGTGCCATTGCGAACCAGTGCTTCCATAATCCAGTCTGTGATAGCTGATCCTTGATTCGTGTCCTGTGGTTCCTATTGCGTGTTTCTTGTTCCGAATTCCGTACCTATTACTACAACTGCTTCAATCACTGAACCGCCCCTGACCAAAATGAGCTAGTTATATTTGAGGGAAACCAAGACTCAGAGGTGTGCACTCGACTGTTGGTGATTCCTACAGAGATCTCATAGTTTTGCTCTGCCTCCCCTTCCCCCACGTGCTTTGCTCCAATCGGCACGATGTATACAGTTTCGCTCTGATCAGATACGGTTTTGTTAGAAAATACAGATATATTCGTCGCATAATGCATACCGGAAACAACCGGGTGATAGGAGTATTCAAATGTGAGTTTATCAGAATGGTTCAGTCAGCTCGCGCATGAGGGATGGGATGGATGAGGAGGTGTTGAAGCATGTGGGATCACAATTCGCGCAGTCACCAACTGATCAATATTTTGAAAAGAATTGTTCTGTACTCTATGTTGACAACCAGCTTGTTCCCCCAGTACATTCTGTGCAATACCTCGATTTCAATATCTGCCAAGATCTCAACTGGACTTCACATTCAAACTCTTCTTTCAATAAGGTTCG